ATATTATGTACTATAAAGGAATATTGGCATTATAAAATATTGTTGGCACACTCGTAAGAAATTCATATCGTATCTTAGGTAATGGTCAGTTTAGTTATATTTGAACTATTTATACTTTGGCTGTAATAATTTCTAAAAATGAAAATATTTTACGTAACTTGCAAAGTGGATTGTAATGAATATGAGGTAATATTAATAGAGCATGCATTCTGCACATTTAAAAGAGCAAAAAAAAATATCATAATTTGAAACTCTTTACATTAAACCGCGTACAAGCTTTTATACCTAAATTAAAACTATGTTACCTAAATCACTACGGTATCGCAACTTGAGAATTCGTTTGGAACCAATAACGAGTAACATATTGAGCAATGTATTATATTTTTACTGCGTAGTTTAATTTTACTGACATATTACACCTACTTGCATGTGGTTGTGCAAGTTGTTTCTGTCACTTGAGAGTGTTTTCCATTCGTATAATGGTTAAGATATTTAACTTGCATAGATTAATTTGCTTCTTCTATGTACGGGTTTTGCGAATTTCGCGAACAGTTTTAAGCACAGACCACCCTTCTTACCCATACAATATTTAGTTGCATCCTTTATTGTATCAATAAAATTTAAACAGTAAAGTGTTTGTTTTTGAATTTCGCGCCAAGCTACACGAGGGCTATCTGCGCTAGCCGTCCCTAATTTAGCAGTGTAAGACTAGAGGGAAGGCAGCTAGTCATCCCCACCCACCGCCAACTCTTGGGCTACTCTTTTACCAACGAATAGTGGGATTGACCGTCACATTATAACGCCCCCACGGCTGAAAGGGCGAGCATGTTTGGTGGGACAGGGATTGGAACCCGCAGACTGTGAGTCGAGCGCCCTAACCTCCTGGCCATGCCGGGCCATAATCAATTTGTTTGTAATTAAGCACAAAGTTACACAATGGGCTATCTGTGCTCTACCCACCACGGGTATCGAAACCCGGATTCTAGCGTTGTAAGTTCCCAGACATACCGCTGTAAAGTGTTACTGCACTTCTAGAAAACAGTGCAATTGGCTGCAAAAGCTTTTATTTCTTAAATGGGACTCGTCGTGCGTGATTCTTTCTTACTGTCTTACTGATTTGCGCAAAAAGTGTTTCTTTAACAAAACAATAATTATTATTTGTATGTTCAGCATATTATTTGTTCAGTTTATAGTTCTGACTTGATATACTAGTTTGTGCTAGTTTGTTTGTTACTCGCTCAACAGATATTTGACAATAATACGATTCAGTATTAACCATTCTATTTGTAGAAACTAAAACTTTCAGCCCCTCCCCATTCCATTTTCTGCGTTTTGGCCCACCTGGTCAGTTACTGACGTTGCCCGGGTTTTTACGTTATCCTTGAAACTTTCTACTCAAGGCCTCTGATCGAAAGTTTGGACCTCACCATGATTACAGCTCTGCAGTATGCAGCTAGGTCTCGGTTTGTTGGCGAGTGGTGATTAATTTCTTCTTGTCAGCTGCTCTTGTGAGCCTTTGTTCAGCATGCCGCTCTCCTGAAAGAGGAAACACGTATCACAGAAGAAGTAAAAGATAGGGGTCAGTTTGCTTAGCTTTTACAATGTAAACCATTAAATTGCTATGCATGAAGTCAAAGCACGTCTGATTAAACTAATGAGCAAGGTGGCCATCCATTTCTCTAAAATAATTTTGTCTGTCGAATAGAAATATTAATACAAATAGTTATTGAAAAACAGGGTTACAAAACTAATATCGTGTCTCATCCTAACATATTTGGAATGTTTAGAATAAATTGTGTTTTTTTTTCTTCTTCTTTTTGGTAGTTTAGTTCATGGAGTTGAGGTCGAAATGAAGCTGGAATAGGTTTTTTTTGTAATTAAATTATCGTGAGGAGTTGTAACTTTTCATTTAAAATCGTAATGTTGGACATTTATGTTATAAGGCTACATAGTTATATTTCTTCATAATAAGCATTTTTAAAAACATATTGATAAAAAAGTGCAATGTGTCATATCTCTTTTATGTCGTTCCTGAAATGGAAATAAAAATTACTGAATATTTGCGTAACTTTAGTTTGTATTATGCTAAGAAAATGAACGTTTGTGTGATCTTGTGTTACCTTCAACACTTGATGGTACAATAAACCACTTTATGTTTAACGCGCCTTGAGCTTCACGTCTTTTTTCGTTGTGTTCAATTGTTTAAAGTAGTGTTTTTATTAGTTAGCTACCTTGGTGGTAAAAAGCTTTTATCCAGTGTCACGTGTGACTCTTTTACTTTTGTTATTGGTGTGGTATATTTCGTGTATTAAAAAAAAGAATGCGTATAAATGTACAAATTATTACTACCGAGCTTTTAGATGTGAGAGATATTATTGAACAAAACTTAAATATCTAACACATTTGTTCTCCTTTGCTTTAGTTGTACGAGTTGAGTGATGACCCCCAGAGGAAAGAGTTCTTGGATGATCTCTTCCAGTTCATGCAGAAAAGAGGTAAGTATATACTGGTGGCTAAATCCATTCACACTTCCATAATCATCCAAACTCAATCCATTTACATTTCACAATTATCAAAGCTGATAGTTAAATCCATTCACACTTTCATAGTCATCCAAACTCAATCCATTTACATTTCGCAATTATCAAAGCTGATAGTTAAATCCATTCACACTTCACAAACATCCAAACTTACAACTTCAATGTTAAAAATAGCTGTTCAAGTAAGGATATAAATAGGTGAAAATTCGATTTTCGGAAACACACAAATTTGTGATACACTTTTCTTACTTTTGATTTTTTTATACTTAATATAACACTTTTGTGAAAATATTGCATTTTCTCACGCATTCTCTGAAATATGTTTCTCTCATATACTGAAAAGCGGCTGCATTTTTTTTTTTTGAAGTAGTTACACTAGTATGGTTATTGTTGTTGTTTTTTTGCAGAATATTTAAAGTTGACCAGAATGCCTGTAATGTCACTAATAGTGACAATGTTTGTTCGTTCGTGGAAACCCGAACTAAAGGGAAATATATATATTGGTTGAACATGACTATTGACAGAACAGCCACGACAACGACACACAAAAACTTCAGATTTATTTTGTTGATAAATTTGAAATTGTATGTTAAGAAATTGACCCCCCTCGTTTTCCTCTAAAGAAAAAACACATTAATTAAAAAACATGTAAGAAATTAAGTTTGTTTAATATCTAAGTACTTATTAGTATTTTGTAATAATGGCAACGCCATTAAGCCTATCTACCGCTATCTCTAATTTTGAACTGATAACCAGGGGAAAGGCAGCCGGTCAGCAGCACCCTCCCACTCATCATTCACATTAAGAGATTGTCTGTTTCCCATATAATGAACCTACAGGTTAAAGTGCAAAAAATATTTGATGGTATGACACGGATTCGAACCAGGTTCGCCAACTCTGGAATTTAGAGCTCTATTTCAGGGCGAATTCGAAGTTTAAGTCTTCAGTTTAGGTAGTTTTATATATATATATATATATACGTATTTCTCCATCATAATAAGTATAATATTTATATTATCCTCTTTAAACGAATATATACACATTCTTACAAGAATAAATTTCATAATTTTCGAATCTGCGTATGTAACATTACATATAGTTCCAAAGGAAGCTTATAATTAATGTTATGGTAGTGGCACTGGAACAACATATATTAACCCATCTAAATATGTTAATGTTATATATCTCTATATTATGTATGTGATTATTATACTCGTATTTCTCAGACAAACAAATAGACATAGAATTGTTAAAAAAACTAATTAGAATTGATTAAGAAGATGGCGCCACGGTGCCCAATTTGATAAATAACAGGCCTAAAATACGTATTAAGGCGTGCATTTTTGATTTTTCTCATCTCTCTCTGCATGTAGTTAATAAAGTCATATATTTACATGCAAAGACAACTGTATATTTGATTATACATAAGTCATGTACAAATATCGTATAATCAGGTAGAAATAAGAAAAAAAATGCAAAACGTGACTGACTGTAGCAGTGTCAAGTATAATGGTCTAGATTTAAATACGTTGTTTTCTTTGAATGTCGGCATACTTATACATATTCATAAACCCATGTTGAGTCTAACTGCTGCAATAAACGTTGAGGTTTTATTGGTGAAAAGTGTAGTTGAACGGAAATTGCACAATATTTATTATTATTATCTTCATTTCGCGTTCAGTAGATGTTCAACTTTTTCAACTTTATATATTTATCCTCTCACAATAAAAGCAGAACACACGTGCAAATATGTCTCAGTGCTTCAATAAGTTATAGAATATGCTAAGTTTTTTTTTTATGCATGAAACGCAAACATAAATTGATCATGCTGAAGTGCACTATAAATTCATATGAATGGAGCAAGCTTTTTACAATATCGACAATAGCTTTATGTTCTGTTTACACAGCATTTTTCTCATATTGTTGAAACAAATGGTAAGCATTTCCAATGTAATATATATGTGTTGTTGTTTTTTTTATATATTTTTCTCTTATAACTTTCTCAGGGGTACAATAAAGGTGATCCTAGCGTCTTGAGAAGAAGAAACCAATTTATTTGACAAATATTTAGATATGGTGAAAGCAAACATTTCACATTGTTAATTCGTCGAAGACTGATCGCTCAGCTTGTCGTGCCATGTGGTCGTAAAAACACGTTAAATTTTTAAAGGGGCAGATATGGTTTATTTGAATGTTTCTTTTTTTTAATAGCAAATACAAAGATGCTGGGTTTTCCCGGTGCTTCACTGTCGGCACCCTTTTTGCTTACGCAAGGGTCAATTACCTAACTTTTTCAAATATTTAAAGAAGGTGTGAGGAGGCCAGAAACTGCAAGTCTCTTAAGTATTCCTCCTTTCTTGCACTCATTCTTCCTCTACCTACCCCATTTTCTCATAAGCATGTCTTCAAATCTTGCAGTGAATGATTTCCGCTGTGAACACATTCAAGTGCATCTTTCGCGTATGTTTGAGTAGACTCAAAATGAACAGTATTTGTCCATATAGTAAAGCTATCTGTAAACATTGTTTTGAAACTAACGTAAATTTTATGAAAGAAAAATTAAGATCAATCATTTGGGGATATAATGCTTTAATTTTTAACTCATTTCAACGACGTATAATTTTTTACCTTACTTTTTAAATATTTTTTATGTGTTTTCCTCACACGAATGTTATCAATAACTACGTATCACCTCGTCCTCCGGTGGGTTAGCGGTAAGTTTACAGACTTGCAACGTTAAAATCAGGGGTACGATTCCCCGAGGTGAATAGAGTACAGGTAGCCCATTGTGTAGCTCTGCACTCAGAAAAAACAACAACGGCAAGCTACCTACATAGATCACAACTAAACATAACTCAGTGTTTAATGTAGCTAATTTAACTAATTAGGATTATCTAATGTTACTAAACAAAACTGTATTTATTAAAACCAGTCGGTTCAATACTTGTATACTTTCGCTACTATTGAAATTTTCGACTATAATCCCAATAATATCTTAAAGGGTTTATATGTTTATAAAGTTCGCGCCAAGCTTCACAAAGACTATCTGCGCATAGCCCTCGCTTATTTTAATGTGACGGACTAGGTAGAAGGGGAATAGTCAACAATACCCACTTCCTGTTCTTGGGCTACTCTTATCTTACCGAATCGTGAGATTTGGCTGTCACTTTTATATGGCACCCACAGCCCCAAAATGCGGAGCGCATTTTCATGACGACAGGTTTCAAATGATGAACCCTTGGGTTCACAGTCTGGACATGCTAACAACTTGTCACGCCCAGTTTACCTACCGTCCAACTCAAGAGATTAGAGTAATCTTTAATCCATACACTAATTTATCAATGCTAAATAATTCCCATAGTATACATTATATATATATATCAAATATTTTACCCAATACCGTTAACGAAGTAATATGAAGGGAAGCATAAAATAGAACTTGCATACAAGACATAACAACTACTTCGATTTCGATGACGAGGAACCCACTTTGAGACTAATAATGGCTGTAGACGGCTTGAATGGGTAATGAAGAAAAACTTTAATATAAGTTTAACATAACAGCAAATGTACAACGTTTCGAC